TCTTTTTCTCGCACAGTTTTGCTAGGAGGTTATCAGTTTTAAAGGCATTTAAAAAAAAACCCCACAGATTTTAGTGTCATTGATTTTTCTTTACAGTTCTTCCTTATAGTTTTCCTTTTCTCTTATATTGAGTTGTGCTCTTTATTGCCTTCCTTGTTCTTACCACTAGACTGGCTAAAATTAAAAGGTCTGGCAATGCCAGCTGTTGAAAGGATGCAGAGCCACTGAAGCGCTCAAACTGCTGGTAGGAATGTAACATGGCACCATCGCTTGGGGAAAGTTTGACAGTTTCTTATAAAGTGAAGCACACCCTTTATAAAACCCACAATTTTTATTTAATCCTATCTATTCAGCTAAGAGAGATGAAAAACATGTATTGACTAATTACATTTGAAGTATTATAGGAACAGAGAGGGTCTTGGAATCCAGCAGGAATGAATAGGTCACACCATGCTAAAAGTCACACATGCTTACTTACGCTGAATTTGCTTAGTAATGAAGTAGCATCATATTTTTATCAATATAATAAGCTTGTTCTGTGCTCCCAAGTCAATGGATTTCTGAATGACCTTACTCTTGGTGAATTTCATGTCTCCAGTGGAGGTGGGTGGCATGGTAAATGCATGGAAGCACTCCGGGGATTCTAGGCCAACTGATGGTCAGACAGGAGAAATTGTTTAAAACAAGCTCTTCAGATTACCAGGTTCACAGATGGCTGCTTTCTAGCCATGTCATCGCCTAAAGGAGAGCAGAGAGACAGAGAGATTAATCCTAGTCATGAGGGCTCCACCCTCATGACCTCTGAAAGGTCCCACCTCCAAATACATTGAGGAGTTAGGCTTGAATCCTGGAGAAATTCAAACGTTCAGTCCATACCAGTGTCCTAAAGCATTCAACAGGTGACAGTCCATGTATGTTCTCACTCAAGGAGAAAAAAGAAAACATTGATCATGAACACTTAGCTCTTTCGCTTATATAAACAGTTCGGCCCAGTGATGATAGTTCCTAGACGGGAATTAGGAAACCTAGGTTCTTGGCCTGCACCTACCATTAGCTGGCTGCCTCGTCTAAACCAAGGGCAAGTCGCTTAACCTCTCTGAATCTTAGTTCTCACATCCATAAAATGAAGATGTTAAAATCAACCACAAGACCAATGGGAAATGACACATGTGAAAGTGCTGTATAAAATAAAGAGCACTCTTCAAATGCACAGAATTATACCTGCGTATAAACAGCATCGGCCAGGGAGCCTGCCTGGGTAAGTTTTCCTTGGAAGGCCAGATGGGTTGGGAGGGAGTAGAGAGCCGATGTAATCGCTTCTGTTCTTCAAGAAGAATGTCAGCTTTTCAGACTCCATGTGTTCCTAGCCAGGGGAGAAGAAATTCTGAGCTAGGTAGTGAGATGCCCAGAAAATAGAAGTCCAGAAGAAAGACTGGGAAGTTAAAACAACTAAGGCATGGGAAAGAGGAAAATTATGCGTAGTTAGCACCAGTTAAGTTTACTACACCTTGCCCTCGGGCCCAGCATCGATAAATGAGAAAAAAAACACACAAATATGAAGCACCTCATATACCATTTCTTTAGCTATGACTATTGCTGTCAGCAGGTTTCTATTTTGGTCTCTTGTGTTACTGAGACCTCTTAGATTGAGACTTTCTTAGTTTTAAGGTTATTCAGACATAAGTATTTTCTTACCTGTTATTATAATCATCTTACTTTGTTTTTTGTTTTTAAAAAACCAACTTTTGTCTATTTCAAAAAAGGCCTCAGGATTGTTTCTTCTGCTGAGCATTGGTTTCAAGCTGTTTCCCTCGAAAGATTAGCTAGTGTTTGTAAAATATTTTTCTAATTTAATTTTATTCAATTGCACTTAAAATGTGTAATGCCCTGTGCTGGTCAATAATTATAAGTAATACTAAACCCTCTTTAAAAAGTGTTGGTGATTTATAAAACAAGATTCATTTTATTCTTACTACTAGTACCCTGGTGTGCCCAAACTTTTACTATTTTCATTAGCATATATGTATCCTTGATAGAATTTATAAAATCCCTAGGACTTGAGGAATGTATATGTAAATTTTTCAGGGATGATAAATCCATGTCACCATTTAAAATATTCTTTCTGAATATAAAAGTAACATATATATTGCAAAAAAAAAAAAATCTGAGTAGAAAAGATAGAAAAACACTCAGTTTCTTTACTTAGAAATTCTATTGTTAAATTTTTTCATTTTCCCTCCATTTACCTTATTTTATGGATTTGAGCTCATACTGTATATAAAGTGTTTTTATCCATCTTCTTCCTGTTGGCATTGTTCTAATCACTTCTCTCATTAAAAACCCTAAGTTCCTGTTTAATGGTTATACAGAGAGAGTAAAAGTAGGTTTATAGGTGTTCGTATGGAAAATAATACAAGAATAAACTGTGTTTTGCATATCACAACTGTAAACCTAAGTTTGCCACACCCTGTATAAATCCATCATAAGGATATTCCACCATTTTCATAATATTTTCCTAGAGTTAAATGCTTAGCTTCTGGTATTTAGAAATTTTGCTAAGTTGACAGGTCAGTAATATCTCTGTAAAAGTAATTGCTTAAATTAATAATAAAAGCATATTTGAATATCTTCAGATATTAGTCATTTTTTCTTTTTAATGACCTGTGTTCTAGTTTTATCCAAATGTTCTTAGTAATTCTTACTAATTAATTCATATAATCTTTTATATTAAGGATATTAACTATTTGTAGTACTTGTAAATACTTAGAGTTTGGCTTAACAGTTTCTTTTGATTATAAAAGTAAAAATCATTTATTAGATTTTGAAAATACAAATAAGTACATAGAAGAAAATAAAACTAATTCCATCAGCATTTCCAGCATTAACATTTATAATTTTAATTGAATTAATACTAGGCATTTTTACTGGTACTCTGTTTAGTTCAGGTAACAATATAGAACATTAGAAAAGGTTTATTAAATATTTACATTTAGAATTGCTACATAGTATTTTATTATATAGATACGCCATAATGTCTTAAAGATGGACATTTGCTGTTCAACTTTTCACTACTCTAAACACTGTGATATTCTTAAGAAAAGTTATAGGTAGAACTGATGAACCCGAGTATATTCAGAACCTTTAACTTGATACAAATTACCCATCCAAAGGCAATATAATTCAGTTCCCATTGGCAGTATTTAGAATACCTGTTTCCGTGTAGCTCACTAAAAAAAGTAACATTTCTATTTTTTAATCAACTGAGGTATAGTTAACATATAATAAGTATAACCATTTTAAGCACGCTGATACGTGAGTCCTGACAAACATATACTCCTATAATCACCCCCCACCCAAGCATTTTCATCACCCTGAAAAGTCGCCTCTTGGCATTTTCATCAGTCATCATCCCTTCCTCCCACCCCAGGCCCTGGGTAACCACAGATCTTCCCTGTCAGCACAGATTATATTCTCTCACTACAGATTATTTATATACGAGTTTTACATAAATAGAATCACACAGTATATATTCTTTGGGATCTGGATTCTTTTACTGAGGACGTCTTTGAGATCCAGCTTCAGCGTTGCTGCTGCCTGAATCAATATGCTCCTTTTTATTGTGGAGGAAAATGCCATTTTATAGCTCTGCCAAATCTTGTCTGTCATCAGGTGAATGATGAAACATTTGGGCTGATCCCAGTCTGGGGCTACTATGGATAAAGCTGCTGTAAACTTATACAGGCCTTTAAGCCATGACTCTCCAGAGATACTTCATTTTTCTTACCCGGGGGTAGATTTGTGGCCTCTAGGTGCACCATCCACTCTCTCAGGTCAAGCAAATTGCCCAAAGGAAAGCCAAGTGTTTTGGCGATCAGAGTAGCAGGACGAGGCAATGGTGCCGGGTATAATTTTGAGAACGTCCTGGAAAGCTCTCTGGGAAGCACCTGACCACCCTCCTGCGGTAGCCGCCGCAAGCATGAGCCTCCTACTTCTCCCTGCCCTCCCCCTTTCTGTCTTCTGGCTCCTGACAAGTCTGAGAATCCTGCCAAGTCAGTCCCTGTCCCCTCCCACGACAAGGGAGGGTCAGAGGAGAAAATAACGACAGGCATCACGCTGTTTAATGCCAGATCCCCCAAAATAGCTGCAGGAGGTGGTAGCTGGGTCAGGCTACCCCACCGGCCACTTGAGCACCTGCCCAGTGGCCTCTAGGGTATCCTGGGCCCTCTTCTCAGCTACACGAGAACTGCGTGCTGCGGTTCAGGAGAATTCTGTGCGCTGATTTGCAGTGCCTACCTTCTCAAAGGAGAATGTAAACTTCTTGAGAGTAAAAACCATGCCTAATACAAATTTTTACATGTTCGGGGCACCTGTTAGGCGTTCCAATATGGTTTTGGAAAAAGTGTAATCAAAGCCTGAGGCATGGGCGTGGATCTTGACTTATAAACACTCAGTAGTAATATTTAAAAGTGAGGGTAGGGTCTTGAACAAGCAAATGCTTCCAATAAAACAGTTTTACCTGGAATTGAAATTGATGATGGAAGGGCAGTTGTATCTTACGTTGTGCTGATGTTATTTTGTACAGCTGTCTTTTGAAATAGAAACCAAAAGAAAACCATTAAACAATGATTCCCTCTTCTCTCCCCAATCCCCCTTTCTGTGGCAAATTCTCAAATCCTGAGCTTCTTAGAGCGGTTCCCAGAAATTAAATCTGGAAAACAGATACATGTGGGGAGTTGTTTTTATTAAAGACAATATGATAGCTAATGTCCCCCTTACAATGGGATAAGATTTTATGGAGGAAAAGAGGTTTACAGACAGCTTTGCAGGAAAACATCTCCCATGATAAAGGGAGATAGCTCATTAAAGTAAAGGTCTAAGCTCTGTCGAGCCGAAGAGCCTTGATCGACGACCCTGACGATGCAGGGCCTTACTAAGGTCAGGGCGTGCCTGCTGCTGGGGGCAGAATGAGGTCCTTATGGGGCGTGTCTCTCTCCCCTCAGTTCGCTGACATCGGGACCTTCGAGACCGTGTGGCAAGTCAAGTTCTACAATTACCACAAGCGCGACCACTGCCAGTGGGGCAGCCCCTTCTCGGTCATCGAGTACGAATGCAAGCCCAACGAGACGCGCAGCCTCATGTGGGTGAACAAGGAGTCCTTCCTCTGAAGGTGGCCCTTTCTGATGCTGCTGGACAATCGCTTCAGAAACCGGCTTTGAGACAACCCAGCACAAGCCTTCTCCGAGGCACGCCGCGCCGTTGTGGCTTCCCATCAGTGCCAGTGACCTACTGGCCCCGATTATTTGGAAAGTGTAACTCCCCTCTGATGCAATGTCCCCGACAAAAGGACGCGGTGTACCGTCCCGAGAAGATCCCTTCCTGTCCTCTGTGTTGGTGTCCCCGCATCCAATTGTTCTCGGTCACGCTGTCGGCCACTTGTGAGGACCTCAGCGGGACTGCCAGGCGTGTTCCACTGAATGACCGTGGTGTTTTGTTTCTAAGTTGAGTGATTCTTCTTCTTTGTTAGCCACTTAAATAAAAAATAACAGTTTGTGTGGGCTCTCCCCTAAGTGTAATGTGGTAACATGTAACTCGCGATGTTTTGCAGCTCTCAAAGCAGGCTTTGGGAAAGTAGTGCAGACCGGGCTTCCTATAAACAGCTGAGCTTTTTCAGGGAAGGCAGATGGCCACATAAAAGGAGAAATAGCTAACAAGTATCTGTAATGTATCAAAACTGTTTCAAGTAACTTCAGGCATTGTGCTGTGACCTAGTGGGCATGGGGAAAGCCTGGCTGTGGACCGTCAAGCAAGGCGACAGGGGTTCCAGGGTTATCTCTTTGACCAGCTACCCTAGAGTTCAAACGTGCGTATCGATGGCATCCCCACAGTCCCCTTCACTTGAACTTTGTAAAACTGTGTATGGAACTGGAATCAACTTTTGATATTTCTTAATAAAGGTACTGAAAATTATGCTCTGATTTGCCCTCTTAATTTGGTCACTACCTATTCAGCAGGTGGTCCTCCGCCGGGGCCAGTTCCACTCGGGCCTCCGTCGGCACTGCGGGGGGATAGGCCCGGACTGGAGCTCGCGTATTTACTCAAAGGCCAACTGACAGTTCAGCCAGAACGCTCCCGCCAGCTCTAACGGGCTAGCGCGGGCTCAGACATTTGGTGGGCAATCAAACAGTGCTTGTCCCTGTCCTCTCTCCATTCTTCCTTCCGTGGTGACCACGCCGTCATCAGCAGGCCCCGTAGCCGAACAGCTTGAGGACGTGGGGCTGTGTTCGTATGTGCACACCAGGTAGACACCTCCTTCCCTGCTCCCAGGGCGCTGCAAGGGACCTGGCACAAAGCCTGCCCTCTGGAGTTTGAGCACGAATCCCTAAGAAGGAAAGAAAAGTCCTCTTGAAAAGTAACAGTATTCTCCTGGGAACAGTAATCACCTGGGGAGCACGACTCCTATTGTGTTGGAAAGAGTTAGTTGGGGATTCATGTTTTTGCTACTTTTAAAGTCTTTGTGTAAGAATATGCAAGTTACTGGGAGTGTTACAAAGAGTCAGTTTATTGTAGGACCGAATTTGGAGGGCTGGCACCAAAACCCCTTCCACCTTTGTCGCCTACCTGCAGTGAGGCTGTGCTGCCAGCAGGGCACAGCACTGCCTTGGGGTTGGACCAGCCCTGAATGGGGTTAGGGGAGCCGTATGTTTCTCAATCCACTTGTTTTTCGAAAATAATAGTGTCTGTTATAGCTGCTGGTAAATATAAGCATTATACATTCCTAGTTACTGTAATTTTAAAAACCGGTGCTCAATCATTTAAACAGACACCGAGATATTTAAAACAATGTATTTACTACAGACAGTGGCTGACATTTTCTTCCAGAATATCGAACAGAAATGCAGTGATGAGAAGGCAGAGAAATATGAAAACTACGTATTTTAAGCTGTTGAAGTACGTGACTAGTAAATTTTCTTTTCATTTGTGAAAAGAAAATTTCAAGCTAATGATTCATCAGAGCTACAGTACTTGTTTGTTTTTGCAATAGTTTCATGACCTTAAAAAAAAAACCCTAAAAAAAGACCTAGAGGCTTTGCTTTTTTTTTTTAATGTATTGATTTTAGAGAAAGGAAGGGAGAGAGAGAGAGAGAGAGAGAGAGAGAGAGAGAAATATCGATTTGCTGTTCCACCTATTTATGTATTCACTGGTCAATTCTCGTTTGTGCTCCGACCAGGGATGGAACCCGCAAGCCCAGCACACAGGGAAGACACTCCAAACAACTGAGCTACCCGGCCTGAGCGAGGCTTTGATTTTTGGGTTTGGAGTGATTGGAGGCAGAGCCGGGGGAAATGTGGCCTGGTGTAACTGCACACACTGTCCCACAGAGGAGCCAGGAGATGAGCCCACGCTGGCTGGCTGAGCCCGAGTGCTCATTCCACCTTTTTGTGTCTGTCTGCTTGTCTCCAAAACAAGGGGTTAGGCTAGGAGAATTTTAAAGCCTGCTAAGATTTATAGTTTTTACCTCTATTTCATACTCCTTAAAAATTAAAAAAAATGTGTGTGTGTGTGTGTGTGTGTGTGTGTGTGTGTGTGTGTGTGTGTTCCTTTGGGGCCAAGCGGTAAGGCTAAATCAAGGGAGGTGGGGAGGAGATGGAGATGAGGTAAACAGGAAATCTTAACAGCTAATCTGCCACGTTAAGTGATCTCTCCTGGCATATACTGTTCCACTTATGATTGGACTCCGGCCCAGTGTCTCTGGCTCCTTCTCGCGTAGCTCTCCTCCTGCTCCAAAACTTGAGTGCTCAGCTATATCAAGCTGCTGAGTTGTAACTTTGCCCCTGGGCCATCTGGAAGGGCTATTTTTACACGAGTTGTAGCCACATCTCTCTACTTCGAAGCATCAGATGGCTACCCAGAAGCTTGAGGAACAAGGCCATCCTTCTAATTATGCTGATGACTGAAGCACTTTGAACAGGTGGAAGAGTAGAAATGCCTTGAATTTATATTTTGTCACTCCTGGCTTACTGAGAAGTCACTTACCCATCCATCTAAACTATCTGGATCACAGCTGAGACCAGAAAACATGCCAAAAAAATAAACATCCCTGACATGGGGTCCCCAAGTCCATTCTCAAAAGACCTCACGACTCCCATTTCTGAGACAGTCCTAACATATAGGGTGACCTGGTTTCTGGCTTTTAGGAAATTGGGAGCAGAATAATTAGAGGAAAGAAGGCAATTTGTAGAGGTAGGTGTACTGAAAATAACTTTTTTTCATAGATGGGACAAAGAATAAATGTAAAAAGCAGATAAAGTAAGTCAAAAGTATAATAGACAGGGAGAGTAGAGACATGATCCTATACTAAATCACAGCAGTGTCTGTGGATATCAAATAAAAGTTGATATTCATAATCATGGTCCTGATTCCCTTAGGAAGGTGATCCATTCTCTTCATAAATGTGGTGTCATGACCCGGTGTTTAGGAGTTCAGATTCTGGAGCCAAGATCCCTCGATTCAAATCCTGGCTCAGCTACTTACCAACTGTGTGACCTTAGGCAAATCGCTTCACATCTCTGTGCTTCGATTTTATCATTTGGAAAATGGAATAATAATAGTATTTACCTTGTACGATGGTTGTGAGGATTCAATAAATAAATGTATATGAAACCGTTAGAATAGTGTCTGCACATAACATTATTCATACATTTTTTTAAAGGCACGGCAAAAATACATTTTCAAGCAAAATTGTTAAAAATACCAAGAGAAAAACTGAAGGGATTTAAAGGAATAAAACTTATTTTTGTAGGATAGTCCACGCATGGTTTTAAAATAACGGACAAAGTTTTTGCATTTTTTTATACTAAAAAGAAAAAAAAAATGCATGTAGAGATAATAATTTTAATTGTTTAAAAATAAATAGTTTGAAGTAGTATGTTTTAAGTTATGCTAGGGGGAAAGACTGCCTCCACAAACAGGCTTCATTAAGTGTCTTTTACAAAGACCCAGTTTTGAACAAGGACTGACCTCAGGACAGAATCGGAGGACCTAAAACCTGGCAAAGGCCAAAAATGATGTAAAAAATTCTACTTGTTATTTCTTTTAACCCTCCTGACAGTTCTGTGAGGTAAGCCGCAAGGGTCGTATCTTCATTTTTACGGGGGGGGGGGAAGTCTCAAGTTTAAAAATAAGGCTCAATTTTAAACAGCTAATTTTGTAAGAAACCCCTTTGTGAAAATGGTGATAATATTATCCACTTCACACAGTGCGTTAGGATTAAACAATATGCCCCATCACCTTCCTCCTGACACAGGTCCCTTAAAATGACTTCATTATGTGCCCGTCTGCCTGCAGCCTGTGGTTTTTGCACCGAGTGGTGTCGCCTTCATTTGTTTGCAGCCTAGAAGATCAGCTGCTTTTCCCCAAAGAAAATTCCTATGGCTGTATTAAAAACACGTATGCAACTTCAAAATCATTGCCAATGAACAGAAGTATTGAATTTCTAGAAACTTCGTATTCGGTATGGAAACCTCGAGTACCCTACAGGGCAAACTACCTGAAGATGACCTTTTCTCTCTGAGGTCACACTAACCGCCGTCACAGCTAGATAAGATGAATTAGAATTTTTCCTTAGGATGGATAGTGATCCATGTCCCGCTTGCTAACCAGTGAAAATCACAACAGTGTTTTCAGCTCTGCCCTGGAGCCTGGGGAGCGATCCCGCCGGGCGCCCTAGGCCCGGGCCACGGCGGGCCTGTCACTCTCCCTCGGGTACCGCGAGCCAGCCGCTTCCTCGCCTCTGCACAGCCTGTTCCCTGGGCTTGGAATGCCCGCCCCGTTTTCTACCTAAGCAGATGCCTCCAAGGGCCAGCTTAAATGTCACCTCGGCTATGAAGGCTTTCCTGACTCCTCTAAAATGTCGAGTCAAGAATAATCGTGAAATGTTGTTGACTCACATATTTTATGTTATCGCCCCATTTCTGAAGAGCGCTGTCGGCCTCCATCTAACTTCTGCTTTTCTGAAGTTCTCTGGACGGCGTCCACATATTCTTACTGATGGTGAAAATGAGCTGACTCAATAAAAACGTGATGAGATTCTAGAAAGAGCTGGCTGGCTGGCTGGCCGGCCGGCTGGCTGGCTGGCTGGCAAACCAGCCGTGGAGGAGTGTGGAGCATATTAGCCTTTAGCAGGTTAGTTCTGCTCCCCTTAGGGGAGACCAAAAGAAGGCAAGTGGATGACAGAGAAAAGGCTTCCAAGCTCTCTTGATGACATTGCTTTAAGTGACTCTGCCTTTTCACGTTGGTGTTATTAATGCTGACGGTACAGAGGCCTGTTGTTCTTACAAGTAGTTTATTTCTGTCAGGGTAATTATTTATGTTTCCAGCCCTGCCCTTTCTGTGCACTTCCAGGGCCTGGGGGAAGGCCCTGTGAGAGCATCTCTGGCATTGAGCTCTGAGCAGAGGGGACAGATGTCGCTACCAGGCTGAAATATCCAGCTGTCCTTCCCTTTGCCGTGACAACCAGCCATTTTCAAGATGATCCATCATCCTGGGTCCTGGAGTGAGAAGATATAAAGCAAAACCCTAGCCAACCTACTTCAGACCTGTAGCCTAAAGTGTGAAATAAACTTTTTCTCCCCAACTTTTTCTTGTGAAAAATGTTGCAATATATGGAAATATTGAAAGAACTGTACATAAAGCATTCACATGCTCATCACCTGGACTTCACAATGAACATTTTGCTGATTTGCTTTGTCTTTTTGTTTGTTTGTTTTTAGGAATGAGAAACTACTGTAAAACACTACTACTTAGATTTGGGGTTGTAATGTACCCAACGTAGCTTAGACTTTCCTGATCTGCAGCACCTGGGGAGCCCTGGCCAGCTGCTCTCCTTTTCTGCTGAGGATCCTAAAGTGGAACTACTCCAAAAAAAAAAAAACTTAAGTGTTTAATTGAGTTCTGAGACATTATTTCC